AAGAAGAAGAAGAAGAAGAAGAAGAAGAAGAAGAAGAAGAAGAAGAAGAAGAAGAAGAAGAAGAAGAAGAAGAAGAAGAAGAAGAAACCCGAACTGCTGTGAGGGAAGTATGGGTGATGACCACTCTGGCTTCTTCAGGCTGAAAGGGGTCTCAGTTGTTGACCAGCAGTCAGAGACACTCTCCAGAGGTTCTACTTAAAGGCCCTTCATAGACACCAAGCATTTTATCTTGGGTAGGTAGAATAGCTTTAAATCTGGAGGAGGCAAATCCAAAGAAATAAACATGCATAGACCAAATAATAATATTGACAGGAATACAGTAATCACTTAGCAGATCTGGAATGCAATAACCTTTTAAAGTTTGTAATTATAAAAACACTAGTCAGAACATTTTGTAGGTTCATTAGCAGAGATCTCTTTAATGTGGGGTTTAATCGCTTTGATCTTCCACGTCCATTGAGTACTGGGTCACATGAATTGCCAGACCTATGGAAAACACTGAGTACTATCTGGTTGGCAAGTGGGGCCACTGGATGGATGACAGACAAATCTGCATGAGCATCTATCAAAAGTTTGACAGGTTTTCTCCTTATATTGGCTGTTAACATGGGTTTCCTCAGGCTGAGAGGGGAAGATTCATGACCACTTTTATCTGAAACTTCCTGTGATTCCATCATGAACTCTTTCTTTTTCCTTCTGTAGCAGTTTTGGACATTTTTTGCTTGAAATGTCTCTTCTTTCTGTCTGGATCCAGGGAAACATAACTTTCCTGTTTACTGGCTGGCTTTTTTTTTTTTCTGTAGGCTGCTGCTATCAACACTCTCGCCTTTCATCTGTTATTCCATTCTGTATCCTTTCTACTATGAAACACCTCAACTCAGACAAATTTATTCCTGCAAACCCTTCTAACTTCTGCAGCTTGTGTTAGATATCTGGAGTCCACTGAGTAAGGTACAATTCTTGGTTTTAAGGCCTCCTGCTGGTAGCCCTGCCCAAGGAACACAAAGATAGCTTTCCTTGTAATGAAGCAGGAAACCCAGAGAAGGCTCAGATCACCTGGTTCTATCAGGTGGACTTTAGTTTAGGCTTTAATATGTTTCTATAGACAAAATCTGGTGGATCCCAGTAAAAGGAATCTTAATCTAGCATATTTGTTATAGATTATACCTGCATGATTACCTGAATTTTGGTATCTTCTAGGACAGAACAAATTTTCTGAGAAATTACAGTATGTATAATCAAAGCACAAGCATAGGGGCCAGGGAGATAGCTCAGTAGAATAAGCACTTGCCTGGCAAGCACAAGGGTCTGAGTTCAATCCCTGGTTCTGCCAAAAAATAAAATAAAAAATAAATAAATTCTGTTTTAAAAAAAAAAGCACAAGCATTTGAGCTAACAGGTAAATGTATAAACTTTGAGGCTAGCAATTATAACCCACTAGCTTTTAGACCCCTTTATTTAGAGTCTGACAGTTTATTATAAGTCCCTCTAGCTATACTTATAATTATCTCTAAATTTTGAGAACGTATGAAAACCAGATTAGAACCTTATTTTTACTGTCAATTATTTTAAGTAATTTAAGTACAGTTTGGCTTATTTTCCTAGTTAAACCTGTGTTTACTATCAGCATAAAATACCTGAGTTACATCAGAAATCAACCAGGCTAACTTAATAAACTTACCATGAAATGCACAGTATTCAGTCAGATTAAACTAATGTCCCATTCAGTTTTGGATATGGCCCTTATTGTAAGCAAGGGGCACTATTGAGGGACTTTTTTTTTTAAACACTGTGGCTCTGAGTTCTATGTCACAAATATAAGACCTGGCTCTATCTATAGGTCCAAAGCTGTTGGACACTGTGTAGCCAGTGTCTCTAGAACATTTTTATAGTGACAGGATTTCATCTGTACATGAACAATATATCTCAGTTACAGCTAAAGCAAGATGACAATGACTGGAAGGAAGGTCAGTGTTGGAGAAGGATAAAGAGACCTGTGTGAATATCCAGCAATGGGCTGGGTTTTTTCCTGTAGTCGTGATTACTCAGGGCTCCTCCATGGAGATGGCAGGTAGAGATAACAGTCGGCCAGAGGCAGGAGGCAGGTCCAGTGCCCTTTAGTCCTACTGGACCATCTGGGAAGCTGAGTCTGAGCTCTGAGGCAGAGGCCTCAGAGTGCAATCTCACTTCTAGTGGCTGCTTTGGCAGTCAGAGCATGGCTTGTGGGCCTCTTACGACAGTCCCTCTTACAGTGGCCTGGCTTTTGACAGCTATAGTAGATGAACCTCATCAACAGATGAACCTCGTTGTTGAGCTCTTCTTTCAGAGAATCAGACTTAGGGTCTGTTTTGAGGTTGCAACAAAGGCAGCCAGTTTTGATCTCTTTGCTTTTTCACCCTGGTTTTCTCCCAGGTCTGATTATAGGACATTGTTTCCTTATTGCCCTATTAAGTATCAAGTGAATTGTCTGGAGAAAAAGCTATCTTTTCTAATATGTGAAGCTGACTGAGTAATAAACTTATCTGTAAGACTAATCTGTCCCTCTACTGAATTAGCATCTCAGGAAGTATGCTCTACCAGTTTCTTATTAAACATTTTAAGAAATCAGAGGAGTGTTTATCTTTTTCCTGCTAAACAGCTGAAATTTAATAACTGAAACCCTGGTTTTAGTTCTTTTTAGACCTTCAATTATACACACTAGAAAATATTTTTTATTACAATCTCCTGCCTGGCAATTAGGCCAGCAGGGGTCGGACTGCTTGGGCTCCAGTGGGAGTAGGTAGTTCCTGTTACAGCTAAACAATGATAAACTGGCTATCTATCTTCTGATTGTTTAAAATTACCAAAGATTTTTTTTTTTTAATCTGACATTATCTGTTTTAGGTCACACAGAAAAAGGCACATAAACTCTGGAAGTTCTAAACTGTCTTTTTACTTCTTTAAAAAGTATTATCCTCGCATATACTCAGCTAAGGATGGGTGTAGCCTTGTAGGGGCTTGGATTACAGCTGTTTTAGAAGCCCACCCTTTTGAAATGCAAATAGAATCTCTACTGAAAAGCTCAGGTAGAATTCCTAGTTTACTAGCAGAAAGAGAAGGATAAAAGGTATAATAGTTCAGTAGAGATCTTTCAGTGGTCAAGAATGATTGCTGACCTAATGTCATTTAGCTGGCAAAAGGAGTCACATGCTTCATAGGTATGTATATTTCCTAAGTCTGAACTAGATTTAAAAGTCCCAGGGCCGGGGAGATGGCTCAGTGGAATAAGCACTTCCCTGGCAAGCGCAATCCCCGGTTCTGCAAAAAAAAAAAAAAAAAAAAAAAAAAAAGAAAAAAGAAAAAAAGTCCCATTTTTCAGAAATTTACATAAAATTCACTACAAGGCTTATTATCATTATTTTCTTGAGCATTATTGTCTAAAGTCAAGCAAGGAGTATCAGTATGTTTAGCAACCAGTTCAAATGCAATGCATACAAATACAAAACAGTCATAGAATGTCGCATTAAAGAAATATCATAACCTTATATCATTTCCATGTTTTAGTTTAGATTTACCAACACATTTTGACCAACATTTTAACAACTATATAATGAATTTATCTGTGCACCAGCTAGTAGGTGAAACAAGCAGGTTCTGAGGGGGATGGTCGGGGTCACAGCTTCTTATCATTTGGAACTGCCAGTGCGACCATGTAGGATTGGCTGGTCATCTGGGGATGGCATCCAGAAGAGCAAACCTTGAATGATTTCAGAGATTCATGGACAAGATCAATCCAAGCCTGAATATAAGGGACCTGGTCAGGGTGTCCCAGATTTCCAAAGATGACTCTCCAGACCTGGTAAGCAAGAGAAAGGTTAAAAGAGCCTTCTGGAGGCCAAGTGGCCTAGGGGAAAGAGGGCCATTCCAATTTGGAGAAGGTTCAATGTTTTTTGGGGGGACACGGAGTCTTTGTACTCAGGCTTGTTGTCCAAAATCCTGAAAATTATTTAGAAAACATTATAGGGGAGACACAGATGCAGAAACAGAAGCAGACTGACACATAGTTATTAGACAGACAAATGACAATTGGCCAAAACACACAAAAACAAAAACAAATCCTAGACTCCGATCCACCGTCATGGAGGGAGTCAAGTCCAGGGACTATCATTATGTCTAACACCACCTAGGACTCCCAGATGGGCACCCGAACAGAATAGATACAGATACAGATGTCTTACCGGTAAGAACTTACAGACAGCTCAGAGGTTCGAATGATAACATTTTTAAGTTTTCAGAGACCACCCTGGGGCAAGAAAGTCTCCCTGGGGAAATGGTTGTTGAAAACTCTGGTTCCTCAGATTGATCCCTGGTGAAGGGGATCCCAGATGAGCCCCCAAATGTTATGAATAGCTCAGAATAGGAACAGATCAGCCAGATTGGAATTTGGAAAGCCATTTATTGCTGAGCTCAGGGCCCCTGGTCAGCTCTCACGCAGGAGAAGACTGCAGGAGAAGACCAAAAGGCAGCTAGCCCAGGAAGCAGCAGGGGTGGGGGGGTTAAAACCTGGAACCACATTCAGTTTGGTAAAACAAATTCATTGTCTGACACAAAATAATGCTTTCAGGATCATTGTGGCCACTGCTCAAACTAAATTTCCTGGGACTTTGTTTCAGTTTCTGGTTATCTTGCACCTGAGTACCTGCCGGCAGCCTTGCATAGCCCAGAGATTTCAAGAAGTTAAAACCCATTTAGTATCATTTTGAAGTAATCTCTATAATCTAACTTTGTTTACAGGAATTGGTAAGGGTTGCAGGAATTGGTGAGGTAGGAATTTTATCTGGCAAACAGCAAGAAACAGCCACTAGTTACTAAGCAACATAGAATAGTGATTGAGTATACATTTTTACACAACAGAAAACACAAGATTTACATCTATAGCCTAAAATGTGAGTTGACCCATTACAGGGGTGGGGAGAGAGAGAGAGAGAGAGACAGAGAGAGAGAGAGACAGAGAGAGAGAGAGAGAGAGAGAGAGAGAGAGAGAGAGAGAGAGAGAGATCTTTCTTTTGGATGCTTTTAAAGATTTTTTTCTTTACCTTTAATTTTTAGAAGTTTACCGAATTGTAAATAGCTGTACCTTTCTTTATATAGTTTGCTCAAATCTTTTGTCAAGGGATTATTTTTTAACCAGATATAGAAATATGGAGTAATTTATTGTGTGTGTGTGTGTGTGTGTGTGTGTGTGTGTGTGTGCTGTCTGAGGACAATTTCCAATTTCTAGGGAAATCTTCCCTGATTTTTCTAAGTCAATTTCCCAATTACATTACCTGATAGTGCCATACATTTTCTCCTTCTTTATACTGAGATAAGGGAAATACATGTAACTTTCAGCCTGCTAGATGTCAGATATGCTGACTTTGTGATCCCCCAAATGGAAGAACGAATTATAAAGAACAGTGGAGGTCAAGAGTAAGAAGTATTTATAGAGAGAGATAGCTCCTCAGAGACAGAAGGGGATCAAAAAAGTGGCTTGCCATGGACCTCATTTTACAGAGTAAGTTTTGTACAGCAAATTTGCCAGAGCAAAATCACAAGGTAGGTACACCGTGGGACAAAATTATAATCAACTAACAAGATTAAAAGTTTAGTCACTTAGGTAATAATGATCTAATGGAAAGCAGGTCTTGTAGCAAGTGTATATTGAAAGAGCAAGGCCCTTTTTAGGAAGAGATGAACCAGAAGGCTCCAGTCACCCAGGGCTATGGATGTCTATCAGGTGAGCACAATTTCTAATCCATTATTCCTCTCCCAGGAGGCATGTAGGCCAAGTCATTCTGTTCTTATCTTCTGGCCTAGCCTCCAACAGAGGCACCTCTGGCCACAGTTGTAATGAGTTGCCCTACTCTCCCCTAGGGCCTAGCCCTGTCTGACTGTCTAGAATATTTTTAACCTAGCTTAGCTGTCTATAATAATAATACTAAGCATTACCACAATTTTACATGTGTTTGTGTGATTCTTTTATTATTATCTTTCAACCAAAGTGTAAATTCCACGAGGGGAAAAACTATACCTTTATGTAGCTGAATTACATTATATTCCCAGCACCAATCACAGTGACCTGTGAAAAGTAGGAACTCAATAAATCACAGAATGTCTAAGTGAAATAAAAGAGATAATACTTTAAAGCTCTTAACATAATACCTGATTTGTTGTAAGCCATCAATAAATCTTAGCTATTATTTATAATTAAAATTCCCAAATGCACTACCATAAAATTGCTTTTTTGTACAGTGGAACTATAGTTCTTTATTTGCTTTAAATAATGCTAGAATAAACTCTTTTTGAGGATTCTGTCTGAAAGAAAAGAGATGGGGAGAAGTTAGACAAGCATTCAGAATCTGAGGAGTGCTTTGGTTTTCTGGTAGACTTGGCTTAGGGTAAGTAACTCAAATATATTTCACCAAATTACTTTCTATCTAGAAAGTTATAGTAACAAAATAACATGAGGGCTTCTTAAGTGGACTATATAGATGGTCTAAGTTTCAATTGTTTCAGGAGTACAGTAGCCCCTCACTATTTCACGATTCGACTTTCACATACTCACTGTTTTGCGGGCTTTCAAAAAATATTAATCTGGGACCATCCAAACAGCTCAAGAGATTAAAGTGCCTGCAAGCAGGCACAGTGACTGGGAATTCAATCCCCAGGTCTGCCATGCCAAGCCTGCCCCTGGGGCACACTGAGCTAGCAATTGAGACTGGGAGTGGTGGTGCACGCCTGTAATCCAAGCTCTTAGGAGGCTGTAAACAGGTGGATCACTATGAGTCTGATCTAGTAGTGAGATCCTGAATACACTGTAGACCCTTCCCTAAAAAACAAACTATATATATATATATATATATATATATATATATATATATATATTATTTCACGAAGATTTTTTGCTATATTGTGAGATTTTGCAGTACTGTACAGCATAGTATGTTGCTAAAATTGCGTAAGTTTATAACTTTAGAAAATGGCTTAAGAGCATTAGAAGTGTTTTTAAAAGTGTGGGAAAGTTTTATAAGTGTGTGGGTGGGGTTCATAAAGCCTTAGATGTATATATAAATACTAAAATAAGTATAATGTTGCTATTTAGCTGATTTTCACTTACTGAGGGGGTGTCTGGAATGCAGCCTCCGCGATAGGTGAGGGACCACCTTACGATGTCAAGATCCCCTCCCTAGAGCTGGAAATAGGTTGGTCATGGGCCCTAACCAGAAGGAGGAGACAGCTTTGCAATGTGACTGAGTGGAATATTTTGGTGCTCAGTTAATCCATGGGAGCAATTCTGCATTCTCAGGTGCCCAATAGTAATAGGAAATCAGACAATACAGAAGCTGGGTTTTAGCAAGTGTTCTGACCTCACAGGAATGATGGCTGGGTCACTGGAAGTAGAATTTAGGAAGCATGAAGTAAGAGGGGGATTTTTAAAATTTTATTTATTTATTTTTGTATTTTAGGGAAGGGTTTACAGGGTGTTCGGGGGCTCACTACTAGATCAGACTCATAGTGATTCTTCTGTTTACAGCCTCCCAAGAGCTGGGATTACAGGTATGCGCCACCACGCCCAGTCTCAATTGCTGTCTCAGTGTGCATCAGGGGTGGGGC